AGCGGGCTTGGCCGCGGGGGGTGGCCGCGCCGGAGCGGGGGTGGCCACACCGTCACCTCCCCGCCGAGGCTGCCGAGTGTAATGCTGTTATTTTAAAAAACCCCGGCCTGTGTACCCCGACGTGCGGTGATCAGGAGGCAAACAAGTCAAAGGTTATGTGCTGCTCAGAGACGTTACCTCTTCTCACGGGCCCCACGAACTGGCAGAGGCACCTGAAGGCGACCGCCCAGGCCCGGTCGCTGCAGCAGAGACAGGATTGATCTCTCCCCTGACGGACACATTCAAAACAGCGATCAAAGCTCCAGCGACGCATTTGCTCTGACTCCTTGTATGCAGTGGTTGCCCTCTCTCCGGGAGAGGGTCATATTTAGCACATTGGGCTCCTTAATCTGGACATAATACCAGAATGCCAATAAAACCACAAGATTGGGGGGGGGGGGGGGGGGCGAGACAAAAAAATTTAGATTGGATATTAGGAAAAATTTCTTCCCTGAAAGAGTGGTCAGGCATTGGAACAGGCTGCCCAGGGGAGGAGTGCAGTCCCCATCCCCAGAGGTGTTCAAAAAATGTGCAGACCTGGTGCTTCAGGACGTGGTCAGCAGACATGGTGGGCATGGGGTGATGGCTGGCCTTGATCATCTTAGAGGTCTTTTCCAACCTTCATGATTCTGTGATTCTATGATTGCATGGCACCAGAGGCGCTCACCAACAAACTGTCTTTGACTTAAAGTTTGCTGGTTTTCCAGCATGGTTACTTATTTATTGCACGTGGCCAGTGTGAAGCAGCCGGTGCGTCAGCTGTAGACAGCAGGATCTGCGGGTGCGGGATTTCTGGATTACCACAGGGGAAACGGGTGGAACAACAACTAGCTTTGCAAGAAGGTTCTCCAGCTCTGAACACCACCACTGCCTGACCTAGCTGGGGTAATTACCATCTGTCCAACAAGTTGCTTTGTTTTTTTCAGAAGCTGTGGTAGCATGGGAATAGACATAGGAGAAAAGCACTGGGAGACAAGTATTTTTTTCTGACTTAACTTCCTAAATGTTTGTCATGTATGTTAATGAGATTAATTACAATCCCTAGGATGTAATACAATTCCAAAATGAGAGCAAAGAAAACATCCTGGAAACATTTCTGGCACCAAAACTGCAATACTTTTCGAACCCAACTCACTGGCTTGATGGAGAGGAGAAAGACTAAACATGACACTGTAAAAGCAAAAATGTGTCTATACTGAATTGTTTGATCTTTTGCAGGGTGTTTTTCACACTCATTCAAGATTGTATGTAAAGAATAGGTACTTTATTGAACAACTTTTTGATTCATTCACGTGTTGCTAAAAGCCATGAGTCTTTTTGTGTACTATTTTGCACTTAAAAATGATGGAGTCCACCCTCAACATCTTTAATTTTACCACAGTAAAGCTCAAACAAAAGCTAATCTGCTAAGGAAGCAACACCAGCAGTAATTCTGGTTAGTATTTGAGGAAGCATGGACGCACGTAGAGGCATGATGCATTGCTGTTCTGGGAGTAATGTGTAGTGCCCTGCAGAGGCCACCTCTATGGCTATTCGACATGACCAGCTGGCTCCTGGTTCCATCCATTTGTATGATTCTCACCACAACACCACAGGCACTTGCCAGTGAAAAAAGCAGGTATTTCCATTACCTCCAAGCACTGTCAGATTTGTTACCTTCCAGCCAGTCTCTCAAAACACCAGCTCCCAGGTCAGTCTACTGTTGAAGCTTCTCTCCCATCCTAGGCGGCCCACAGAGGTGCCGTTCCCTCGTGTTACGTGTTTCTGTAGCTCGGAGGAGCTGAGGGAAAAGCGAGCCTTGCAGGATGCCCTCGCATTGGAGGAGACAGGCCTTCACATGCAGAGAGCAGGACAGCGTGGGGCCCTGCCGCCCTGCTCAATGCCCCCCTCCCTGAGCAGCCAGGCCTTTGGAAGCACAATGTAAAGTGAAAAAGAGATGTGTGTGTATACATACAGATGTATATGTTTATAAATTTGGTTGTTGAAGTCCTAATGTAAAAGGCAGAGAATGGTAACAGTAGTAGCTCGGAGTGTAGAGGACTATTCACCACCTCCCATACATTACCTGAGCTATAGAAAGCCAATTATTTTCTGTATGCTTCAACGTATGGCAGATCATGCTGCAATGTGCTGCATTCTTCCTACTATGCTGAGATTCTGTCTTAGCAGATGCACAGAAAATTAAACACCCAAGCTAACTTCACAGCACCTTTAAAAGGAGCAGTTTAATTGCTCTGTACACTTAGGGCAGACACAGAGACACACATAGTACATGCTAAGCCTTCACCCGTTCACCATATTAATACAATAAATGCATCTCAGACTTCTTTCTTACGCTGTTAATAAAAAATTCATCTGACGGATGGCCAAATTGCTCTAATCAACTATGTGTTTAGCTACATACAACAGTAGTTTTATGTAGTACCTGTACTTTCAATGAAATTCTTTAACTAAAATATTAACAGTATACTCAATTAATTACTGTTCTTCACTACAGAAAAAAAAATAAACATCCATGTGATAACTGGGTACTGTGTTAAGAAAGCAGATGATGGTGTCATCTTAAACTTCCTTCCTAGTCCAATTCTTTCATGCGTAAAGGGGTGTGTCCGCTAATTTTAGGAAAAACTTGCAAAAAAAGAAAGGGGAAAAAAAGCGCAAAGAAACCTTTGAAGTACTGGAGTGTGCTAAAAGAGGATGGCCAAATGTTCTAGGCACAGAATACACTGATGAATAAGTGAAGCAAATTAACCTCAAGGACTACAGTATTCACAGAAACGGAGCTTTAACCTCTCCAGTCCCCTCCAGTATTTCTGAAGGAATATTTTTCTATGGTGCTTTTCACTGAGGTATCACAAAGCAGTTAACAGGACGAGGATTATTTGATCAGTCCATCAGCAGGTGGATGGCACTACGTGCTGTCACGGGCCTGGAGCTCATGGCTGCTGCAATTCCCACAATGGAGTCTGTGCAGTGAAACACAGGCCTCTCCCGCGCCAGGTAGCCTCGCACTTGTGTTCAGTGTCACCAGTGCTTTTACAGATGTCTCATTCACCTTTCCTTGGAAAACTGTATCCCCTCCCTCTGATTTATGTCTGATTTATATGTGAGACAGGAGTCTTTTACAGATTTTAAAAATTAGACAAAATATACTACTAGTTAAATAGACTTATCACTGAATGCAGAACTAAATGTTGCAAAGGAAAAATAGACCAGCAGGTCCACAGGAGGCCACAAAGATAATCAGAGGGCTGGAGCACCTCTCCTGTGATGAAAGGCTGAGAGAGTTGGGGCTGTTCAGCCTGGAGAAGAGCAGGCTGCGGGGAGACTTTACTGTGGCCTTCCAGTACCTGAAGGGGCCCATAGGAAAGACGGGGACAATCTTTCTAGCCAGGCCTGTTGCAATAGAACAAGGAGCAGTGGCTTTAAACTAAGGGAGGGTAGATTTAGACTGGATATAAGGAAGAAATTTTTTACAATGAGGATGGTGAAACACTGGCACAGGTTGCCCAGAGGTGGTCGATGCCCCATCCTTGGGAACATTCACGGCCAGGCTGGACGGGGATCTGAGCAGCCTGGTCTGTTGAAGATGTCAATGCTCACTGCAGGGGGGCTGGGATAGATGGCCTCTGAAGGTCCCTTCCGACCCAAAGCATTCTATGATTTAACTCCCTGCAAAGTACCAAAATGATTTCTGTTAACTGTACACATCTGTTACAATTTAAGTTTCAGTTATATTAACTTGACACTGCAATTATTCCACCAAAATAATTCTAATGACTCCAGTTTGCTTAACCTATCCCATTAACCCATCTGGTGGAGCAGTGCATGTTTACATCTTGGCTCTACAGAGGTGAGCAGGAAGAGAGGCAAACTAGTGACTGGATTTTGAAAGGGTTAAGAGCAGCTCAACCATTATCCTACACGACTGGGAGGCGGGAATGACTTAAAATGGATGAGCATACTTTGAGAAAGCAGTTTATAGCATGGTCCCTTGGTTAGCATTTACTGCAAATGACCATCATGCAAAAATTGCCATCAGCTGAACAGTCTGAATTCTACAGCTTCAGCTGATTTGTAATGTTATTTACAAAGATTTGCTTCTAGATTTGCATTATTCTAGGTCTGTCTTACTGCAGAAAAGCGTCTCAGTTTTACTGAAAAATCAAGCAATTTTATGTCTTTATAAGAAACACATTATCTTTTAAAAGATAATGTAACTGATGCAGTCTTATTTACCATGCAAGATGCACACACAGAATCTGCATTTTAGGTTTAACCAAGACTGTACGAATTTGCCACACTGTCAACGTTTACCAAGAAAAATGCATCAGTACACAAAAGCCAACAGTCCCACCAACTCCTCAGCAGGTGAGCTGTCTCCTCAACATTAGTTACGCAAATTTAAGTCGCAGCAGAATCATGCTCTAAATAGGGATTTGTTTTGTATTTGTTTGTATTAGGCACTTTATTCTCCCCCGTAATTTTCACAACCACAAGCAGTCTAGCATACAAGGAAGTTATGAATACATATTCTTTTTTTATTTTAAAACTTTATTAATTTACGCAGTAAGAACCCATCTCCACACACGTGTTTCATTTCTGGATAGCAGAGGTATAATGCATGAGCCACAGGTGAGTGCATTACCCCTCCCTACCCCCCAACTTCCAAGAAATAAAACAGCATGTATAACACACTCTTGTTACTACGGTACTCCAAACAGATTGTTCATAAGGTCACCTTTAACTGGAGAAAAATAAAAAGGACCAACAGCATCAAGTGTCCCGTTCTGCATATGAATGTTCCTCCCTGCAACATTCAAACGCCTTCTTTCTTGCAATGCACGGCGCAGCAGATGGGTCAGGAAGCAATGGCAGTGGAATGCATTTGCACGGTATCATTAGACATCAAGCCTGTGACTTCCCTAATCAGGCAATCAGAATGCAAAAAAGGCTGTGTGTCTGTTGAAAATTCTTACACTTCAAAGTGCATGTCCACGAAAAATTGGCAACAGAGGAGAAAGTGAATTCTAAGACCTACTGAGGAGGCAGAACAGTTAGCATAGTGCAAATACTGAAAATAATACAAGTTCGTCTATTACTTATGCCTGGTGTTAACTGATGTCATCTGAAAGTTACTAGCCAAGCTTTCTACTCAGATGGACTGCTGCAAATCCACTCAATTAAATGAATTTTATGCCAGTAGTGAGCTTGGCTCCACTCCTTTAATACTTAAATTTGGACTGAAAAAAATGCTGTATTTAAAATGTGTTT